TCTTAATTTCACCACGAAGTCACTGCTCCCTGCAAAGGAACAGTCAGACACATAAACCCAACGAAACTACTTTGGTTTATTGCCGATTAAAAAAAAAGGTATCATGTGTTAATCAGTGAGCTTTGAAGATGCTTGTAGGCAACAATTTGCTTCCACTGGAGAGAGCCAAATTCTGCAGATGGTTGATGGAGCACATAAGAGGTTTTTTTTTAATGATCTGCTGCTCGTTATGACTTTAAGGATATGGTCAAAAGCAAAAAGCCAATGAGTTTGTTCAGTTTACCAAAGTGTGTAAACTGCTGATTCATAAAAACACCAGCAGGGGCATGTCCATCGTACTAGGCATTATAGTCACAAATCATTAGCTCAGTGGATGTTTATCTGCAGACAAAGTATGATGATAGCAGAGTTTGTACATGGCATCTGGGACAGGTCAAAGTACCAACAACATATCCTCTGAAGTTCATGTGCACCAAATGTCAGCTTGAAATTAGGCAATTATTTAGATTCACTTATCATCTGCAGTTTGTATTTGTCTTGTTGACCTTTGTATTACTCTTTAAGGCATAAGCAAATTAATCCACTGGATTATTCTAAATGATTTGTGTATTTAAGGAAGACTGGCTGCATCTGAAGTATGTTACAGGAAAATGTGCAAAGCAGCAATGTTTGGCTGGATGCTCACTGTAAAGAAAACTAAATTACTAATTAGACTTAAAAATGCACAAAAAAAAACACTGATGCCTTTTTTTGGAAAAGTGATTCATATATATCTGCTAATTTTGGAGTGTGTAAATGTTTCACTGCATAGTATTTTATCATCGTCACATAGTTGTTCTTTTAGTGTGTATTGTGGTGTTGTGTTTTGTTTTTGTTTAACATGATCTTGTCCTCCTCCTTCTTCTTCACCTTCTGGACTGCATTTGTCTCTTTTTCTCATGGCTGTACTTTTTGGGTTTGTCTTATATTTCTTTTTTGTTGCTGCCATTTTGGCCAGGCCTTGCTCGAAAAAGAGGTAATTTGATCTCAAGCAATTCTGCCAGGTAAAATAAAGGTTAAATAAAATAATAATAAAGAAATATATATTTTTACTGGCGGAGAAAACATTTCAATTTGTATTTTTCACAGTTTATAGGTAGTCTTTCTAAATCACCAGAATAGTGTTCTGTTAAACAGTGGTGAAAAGTTTTACATGTAAAGATTCTGTGTGCTATTTTTTTTAACCTAAACTCTTTAAAGTAAAACAGTTTCTGGGGAAGAACTTTGTGTTTGTTATAAAGCCAAATACCTCGAGCACTTTATAACAGATCAAATGTCTGACGATGATGACATTTTCGGACAGTGTCGTACATTATGTGCCCAAGCCAAGCCAAAAATTTCATATGTGTTCTGATCATGTAAAGATATGTCTCTTTAGAGCATATTGCACTCCCCTGTATACTGCCCCCTTATGGGGTAAGTTAAAAAAAATCAAATATGCACAGACTTCAGGTTGCTTACAATGATTGTTTTAGGATCTTATTTAAAAAGCCAAGGTGGAGTAGTGCAAGTGAGCTATTTGTGAATGCAGGAGTTAACACCTTGCAAGCTTTATTGAGGAACCTGATGTACAGATTTATCGGTCGCTTGAATGACTCAAAGAATTTAATTGTCATGCTGCTGTCGATCCCAAGTTATAGTGCAGTACGCTACCAGTCATACCTTTGCAGACATTGGTATAAGAGGCGGGAATGTTTTTATTCTAATGTACATGTGTGTTGTCTATTTTTTGTATTGCATGTCTTTTAAAATGGACCTTGAGTCTAATAATAAAAGTTGATGATGATGATGAGTAATAACATTTAACATTTAGTTTGATAGTAAAATTATAGAGACTGGGCAATTTTATTCTTAATTTTCATATTAATCTGAATTCATTGAAATGAAATGAGTAGAGCTATAAAGTTGTAGTAATTTAAACGGTAGAGTTTATATAAGTATCTCAAAATTCAAGTAGATAGGCTAATACTATGAATACTATTGTTTCTTTTTCTATTTCCTTCAACAACAAACGGAGCGAACAGCTTGTTTACATTTTCTGCGCCGAGCTTGTAGTTCCTCACTCCGTCCAGTTGGTGGCGATGTGCTAACCTGGTGGGTTTTGCACACTTCCCGTTGACACCACAGAAGAAGAACTAGCTAAACTGCGTCGTTAGCAAGTCAACAATAAATAAACAGAAAATCTACCAAGGTAAGCGTTATAATATGTCCCTCGTTTGAACACATTTGAAAACTCGATTTAAAGTGGAGACGCATACATCCAATGTTTTGTTGCATTAGTCCATATTGTTTAACTAACAACCTAGCATTCGTTAGCGAAACATTCCACTTGCTAGCCGCTAATTTTAAAATGACTAAAACGTCACACAGTCTCATTCATTGTTGGTGTTAAGATGAGATTAATATTCTAGCCAACCTTTCCAACACAAAATGACATTTTCCCCGCAGTCTTAACCTAAAATGCCTTAGCTTTAGCCATATATGGGTTATCTTCTCAGGTTCGTAAAATAAACAGATTCAGAAATCTTCAATTCAAAGATTACTTTTTAGTTATTTAGAAAACATGAAAACGATGAAGTGAAGTCAGATCCACTTCATTATCCCGTTTTCATCAGTTTATAATGTTCACACATTTTATAAACGGGTTTGTTTTGGTTCTTCTAGCTGTTTACAGTCACACAGTTTCCCCCTTACCTTCAAAGTTTAACCACTTTATGTGTTTATGTGTCTGTGTAGTCTTGTTTGTGTTTATGTAGTCTTGTTTGTGTTTATGTGTCTGTGTAGTCTTGTTTGTGTTTATGTAGTCTTGTTTGTGTTTATGTGTCTGTGTAGTCTTGTTTGTGTTTATGTAGTCTTGTTTGTGTTTTTGTGTCTGTGTAGTCTTGTTTGTGTTTATGTGTCTGTGTAGTCTTGTTTGTGTTTATGTAGTCTTGTTTGTGTTTATGTGTCTGTGTAGTCTTGCTTGTGTTTATGTAGTCTTGTTTGTGTTTATGTGTCTGTGTAGTCTTGTTTGTGTTTATGTAGTCTTGTTTGTGTTTATGTAGTCTTGTTTGTGTTTTTGTGTCTGTGTAGTCTTGTTTGTGTTTATGTAGTCTTGTATGTGTTTATGTGTCTGTGTAGTCTTGTTTGTGTTTATGTAGTCTTGTTTGTGTTTATGTGTCTGTGTAGTCTTGTTTGTGTTTATGTAGTCTTGTTTGTGTTTTTGTGTCTGTGTAGTCTTGTTTGTGTTTATGTGTCTGTGTAGTCTTGTTTGTGTTTATGTAGTCTTGTTTGTGTTTATGTGTCTGTGTAGTCTTGCTTGTGTTTATGTAGTCTTGTTTGTGTTTATGTGTCTGTGTAGTCTTGTTTGTGTTTATGTAGTCTTGTTTGTGTTTATGTAGTCTTGTTTGTGTTTTTGTGTCTGTGTAGTCTTGTTTGTGTTTATGTAGTCTTGTATGTGTTTATGTGTCTGTGTAGTCTTGTTTGTGTTTATGTAGTCTTGTTTGTGTTTATGTGTCTGTGTAGTCTTGTTTGTGTTTATGTAGTCTTGTTTGTGTTTTTGTGTCTATGTAGTCTTGTTTGTGTTTATGTGTCTGTGTAGTCTTGTTTGTGTTTATGTAGTCTTGTTTGTGTTTATGTAGTCTTGTATGTGTTTATGTGGTCTTGTATGTGTTTATGTGGTCTTGTTTGTGTTTATGTGGTCTTGTTTGTGTTTATGTGGTCTTGTATGTGTTTATGTGGTCTTGTATGTGTTTATGTGGTCTTGTTTGTGTTTATGTAGTCTTGTATGTGTTTATGTGGTCTTGTATGTGTTTATGTGGTCTTGTTTGTGTTTATGTGGTCTTGTTTGTGTTTATGTAGTCTTGTTTGTGTTTATGTGGTCTTGTTTGTGTTTATGTAGTCTTGTTTGTGTTTATGTAGTCTTGTTTGTGTTTATGTAGTCTTGTTTGTGTTTATGTAGTCTTGTTTGTGTTTATGTAGTCTTGTTTGTGTTTATGTGGTCTTGTTTGTGTTTATGTGGTCTTGTTTGTGTTTATGTAGTCTTGTTTGTGTTTATGTAGTCTTGTATGTGTTTATGTAGTCTTGTATGTGTTTATGTAGTCTTGTTTGTGTTTATGTAGTCTTGTATGTGTTTATGTGTCTGTGTAGTCTTGTTTGTGTTTATGTAGTCTTGTTTGTGTTTTTGTGTCTATGTAGTCTTGTTTGTGTTTATGTAGTCTTGTTTGTGTTTATGTAGTCTTGTATGTGTTTATGTAGTCTTGTATGTGTTTATGTGGTCTTGTATGTGTTTATGTGGTCTTGTTTGTGTTTATGTGGTCTTGTTTGTGTTTATGTAGTCTTGTTTGTGTTTATGTAGTCTTGTATGTGTTTATGTAGTCTTGCTTGTGTTTTTGTAGTCTTTATGTACTCTTGTATGTGTTTTTGTAGTCTTTATGTACTCTTGTATGTGTGTATGTAGTCTTGTATGTGTGTATGTAGTCTTGTATGTGTTTATGTAGTCTTGCTTGTGTTTATGTAGTCTTGCTTGTGTTTATGTAGTCTTGCTTGTGTTTTTGTAGTCTTGTATGTGTTTATGTAGTCTTGCTTGTGTTTTTGTAGTCTTTATGTAGTCTTGTATGTGTTTTGTAGTCTTGTATGTGTTTATGTAGTCTTTATGTAGTCTTGTATGTGTTTATGTAGTCTTGCTTGTGTTTATGTAGTCTTGCTTGTGTTTTTGTAGTCTTTATGTAGTCTTGTTTGTGTTTTTGTAGTCTTGTATGTGTTTATGTAGTCTTGCTTGTGTTTATGTAGTCTTTATGTAGTCTTGCTTGTGTTTTTGTAGTCTTTATGGAGTCTTGTATGTGTTTTTGTAGTCTTTATGTAGTCTTGTATGTGTTTATGTAGTGTTTATGTAGTCTTGTATGTGTTTATGTAGTCATGTATGTGTCAACACTGTTCTAACAATACTTTTTCTAACACCAGTTTGTTTAAGGTAACTTAAGAACATGTCAGCAGATACGAAGATTGCAGAGCTGCTCACAGAACTCCATCAGCTCATCAAACAGACGCAGGTAATCAGTCAATCAACAAGTCTGTTAACATTACAAAAGAGCAGGTAAAAAGACCTTACTCATTGCTATATTACAAAGACCCGGCCTATCCATCATGAGCACTTTAGGAAAGCAGCAAAAGTTACAGTGGTAAGAAAAAACTGACTTATTAAAAGGCAGAAATCTTCAGGCAGGATCCCAGCTCATGACGAAACAGCCTTCACAGGCCTCGACTGCGCCGGGCTTGGAAGGGGATAGGGGGAGAGATGGGATAAGATGCAGGAAGAGGGATAGGGAGCAAGGGGGTGGGGGGAGGCAAGCCGTCCATCAACAATCCGGTGGGGAGGGGGGTTGTTCTGGGAAGCCATCCATCAACAATCCGGTGGGGGGGGGAGGGGTTGTTCTGGGAAGCCGTCCATCAACAATCCGGTGATCAACCAACGATCTTGAGGAGCCTAAGAGAGCTCAAGAGCTCTCAGGAAAGTAGGTGGTTAGTGACTGAGATTTACAGATAGATACATGCAGTAATATGATGTACTGTATATGCACAGAGAGAGAGAGGAGCTCAAGGTGCCAGTTCCCCCCAGTAGTCTAAGCCTATAGCAGCATAACTAAGAGCTGGTCTACACCAGCACCAGCCCTAACTATAAGATTTATCAAAAAGGAAAGTTTTAAGTCTATTCTTAAAAATACAGACTGTGTCTGCCTCCCGGACCCCGGCTGGAAGATGATTCCAGAGGAGAGGAGCCCGATAACTGAAGGCTTTACCTCCCATAGTACACTTAGAGACTGTAGGTAATGCGAAATGGATTTTGATGTAGATAGGTGTAGCCATGTTCTTAACATTTCAATCCAAATAATCACTATCTTTCCCCTTTTCAGGAGGAGAGGTCCCGCAGTGAACACAATCTGCTCAACATTCAGAAAACACACGAGAGGATGCAGACGGAAAACAAAAGTCAGTCACAATAACACTTTTAAGTCTTTCTCCATTATATGAGGTCGACTGTACATTTATTTCCATTATTACTTCTGAGTCACTTTATTTACTTTGTGCCTCTGTTTATTTCAGCTTCCCCATATACAGGACCAAACTGAGGGGTCTGTACACCACCGCCAAAGCAGATGCAGAAGCAGAGTGCAGGTCAGGAGCCGATCACTTGTTTTCTTATAGCACCAGGACATGTGTAATTCAAATTCATATTCCAAAAACTTGATTTGTCCCCGGGGGGCAATTCAAAGGCACACAGAGCACTAAATTAACAACAGTGCAAGTAGACGAAACATTTTAACCTAAATAGAAAGTGTCAATTTAAATACAACTTAAAGCTTAAACTTAACTTAAAATACAAAAAAAAAAACAGAGTAGATATAAGTGGACAGTGATCGGACTAACAGATGTAAACAGATGTAAACAGAACTATGTGCAGTAAACGAGAAATAAATATATATATACAGAGCTATGTGCAAGTAGGCTAACACTAAATGATAAGTTAATAAGGTGCATGGTGAATAATGGAACAACAGAACTAATATAAACAATATAACTGTAAAGGTAAAAATGAGATAAATAAAGTGACTGTAGTGCAATGATGGATAAGAAACATCAGGAATAAAGTAACCAGAACTGATGAATACTGATATAAAAAAGATAGAATAAAGTGATGTAGTGCATGACACCAGATAAAGCAGAGGCAGTTAAGGTGCATGGCAAATGGAAGGAAGTTAATAACAGCGACAGGGGGAGATGTTTAGAAACAAACTGATCAATGGGATTCCTTTTTGGAAAATATAATACAGCGGAATTTGTGAAGCAGGCATGAATAAATATATTTTTGCTGTTTTTGTTTAAAAAAACTCCTTATGTAGCAGATTAAATGGTTCTCAAAGAGTGGTAGGCTGTCAACTTTCTTTATTTATTCCAATTGTGCTTTATAGGAAACTGGCATAACATTTTAATTAGTCGCAGGTCTGTATGTGCAAATAAAGAAATCAATTTAGATATTTTAAAAAAAAATGTTCAATACAGTTTTTACATTTTAAGTTCAAGACAAGTAGCTGAGAGGTTTCTCAATTATTTCTTTCTGTTTTGACATTTTCCCTTTATTCAGAATGTTTGAGATTTTCTCGGTAAAGCCATACAAGCAGAACATTAAAGTGAACTTTTAGGCCTGTTCTTAATTACCAGATGGCATTCATGTCCTCTGAACATTTCTGTCCATGGATTAGATTATCACTTGTAAATGTTCACATAATTCTTCTGTCTCTCTCAGCATCCTGCGCCATGCTCTCGACAAAATAGCAGAGATCAAGTCTTTGTTGGAGGAGCGGCGAATAGGTATGTGTGTGATGAAAAGATTTATATTGTTGGTACAGACTTTTTATAGCTTGAATGTTTTACTTTTAAACCATTCAGGTTTGAATTTTGTGTGTTTTTCTTGTTTTTTATTGCAGCTGCTAAGATGGCTGGAGTTTACAGCGACAGCGACCCTCCCAGAAAGACGATGAGGCGCGGCGTCCTGATGACGCTCCTCCAGCAGTCGGCCATGACGCTCCCTCTGTGGATTGGCAAGCCCGGGGAGAGGTAGCTGCTGAGGAGTTTCTTCTCTCATTTTTCATTTCTCAAATTTCAGTAAGAATGTTTGTCCCAACAAGGAATGATCATACACATTGCTGAGTTATCATTTACACAATAAGTTTTTAAAATGCCACAGTATCCTGGTTTGTATTGAGGTATAGCAAGCATATTCATCTTTGTAAAACCAGGATGACGTTTTTACACTATATGCCAAACATAACCATAAAACTAGAAAAACATCATAATATAATATAATCAGGAGAGTTGTGTTCATGATCAGCTACACAAACAAATGAAGAGCTTGTGTGGTGCAGATACAAACTGATTAAGTGTTGGTCGTTTTGCATCAGCCCCCCTCCTCTGTGCGGGGCAACTCCAGCCAGCAGTGACTACGTGGCCAAGCAGGGCGACAAGGTGGCAGCCAGGGTGAAGGCCGTGGACGGAGACGAGCAGTGGATCCTGGCTGAGGTGGTCAGCTACAACCACTCCACCAACAAGTGAGAACATGACCCCGTCCTCACGCTGAAGGACGTAAATGATTCCAAGTATCAGGAAGGAAAATTGTGTCTGAACTGACTTGTCTTCACTTCTTTCTCTAGATATGAAGTTGATGATATCGATGAAGAAGGCAAAGAGTGAGTTCATGTTCATCATCTTTATGATTCACCATGAAGTGTCCCTGTTTTCAGACTCCAGCCTTTAATCTGAGTTTTTCTCTTTTGTGTTGTTGCCCTCTGCTGTTTTTTCTCTGCATCAGCTGTGTCCTTCAGATCTTTTCAGGTGTAGTCTGACAGTGGCCCAGTGTTGAACAACTGGCGTTTTATATTAGGCACTCTCTGATCTATGGGTTGCATCAGAGCTCTAGTGGTCCTTAGGTACCTGATTCTGTTGACAGGTTGCACAGTCAGTCACAGCAAGCTGCTAACAGCAGAGTTCCTAAGCAGTGTAGAAGTCGATTTCGAGGTCTGAATAAGAATGGGGAAAAAGAGAGTATGAAAGAAAATCAGTTCCAGATAATGTCCTGATTCCTTTTTCTAACCTGTAAGGATTCCTAAATTATAAGGGGATTGTATTTTTCATAGTGTGTTTGGAGCAGGCAGCACAGTCATAATGTTGAAGACAGAGCAAGCTTTAGTCTATATGTCTGTACGTCACAGCCTGCACACTAAACTCTCCTTAAAGGGCCTTATAGCTGAACCACACCATGGGGACATGTGCATCTACATTTGTTGAACATTATAATAACAGATAGAAAAAAGTTGGAAATAATGATCAAATATTGGTTATTCAATAAGCAACGGGTAAATAAAAGAGGTAGCAGTGTCGAGTGTTTGATAGTGGGATGTAGGAGTCCGGACTGAACTGTCAACAGGCGAATGCAAGTTTTCCAAATCCCCCAATTTAATGTCAAAGTCTGGAAAATATGTAATTTTGAATAGAAAATGTGTTAGACTCCTGATTTGACATGGACATGACATGTTTTGATCAGCATTTTTTTTTACATGATCCTGATGGTTACCTGAATACTAATTCTGACATTTTTATTTGTGATCTCTAAAATCGAGCGCATGCATTTTTTCCAGTCGGATGTAACGCTACATTTTATACACATGGGTGTCCTTTAGAAAAAATCTCTCACCAACCATCTTATAACCCATTTCTAGGCTCCAAACAAACTTCTTGTGTTTAAAAAGTGTGTGTGTGTGTGTGTGTGTTATCAGGAGACACACTCTGAGCAGACGGCGGATCATCCCTCTGCCTCAGTGGAAGGCCAACCCAGAGACAGACCCCGAGGCCCTGTTCAGTAAGGACCAGCTGGTGCTGGCTCTCTACCCCCAAACCACCTGCTTCTACCGGGCTCTCATCCACACACCCCCTCACAGGGTGAGACTCGGCACTCAGCTTTGAAGCATAAAAGAGGAAAAATATTTAAAAAACAAAAAACAGTGATGAGTTCTACAAGTGGCAAAAGCAAAGAGATATATGCATCTCAAATATAGTATATTGAGAAAAAGTTTGAGAGGAATGATCCCGGGCTCTGATCACTGATTGATCAGATAAAAAACAGTATTAAAAAACAAGAAAACACTGACCACTTCCTATGTTGAAGCCACCACCGATGAAAAGTTGTCACTGATCATTCAGGATAGATTATTTTCAGTGACTTTAATATCTGTTTGTTTTCCAGCCACAGGACGATTACTCGGTGCTGTTTGAGGACACGTCGTACGCCGACGGATACTCTCCTCCGCTCAATGTGGCTCAGCGGTACGTGGTGGCCTGCAAAGAGAACAAGAAGAAGTGAGCGATGACTGGATGGAAAAAAAAACACACACACAGCGGGACGAAGATGAAGAGTGCTTTGGATTATTGTTTCATTTTTAAATGGCCCTGATTTCCGTTTTAGTGGGAATTGACCATTTGAAGTAATTGTCCAATCTAAAGTCGGCCTCCCAACAGCACAGGGTATCTATGTGTCAAAGCATTTGGAGCAGATCCACAATAACAGACTGTGTTCTTCAAAGTCAGCACCAAGAAACACTAAAGTGAACTATAGACTGAACGTCTCATAAAGAAAAAGTTTGTGCTGTGTTTCAAATCCATACCACATTTGAATTCAAAATAGTTTTTTTGAAGGAAATGAACCAATCTCCGATTTTTAACTTTGTTGCTGCACAAAGGAGCAGCTCACTATGGAGTCACAGGAGGGCCATAAAACCAAATGAACCTGGGGAAGAACAAGAGCATAAATGTGGACACAAAAAGAGAGACAATAAAAATCTAATTTCAGAAAAGTATGTCATAGTAAAACATATTTCTACAAAATGGCTTGACTATAAAACTATTTTATTTAAACTCTTCTCTATTTTTCTCAGTAGCCTTTGCTGTTTCTGCCTGGCCAAGCTGTCAGTCACGTGGCTTTCAGTGGGTCTTCATGTCCCCTCTAAAAGTATACTTATGTATAAAAAACACATTTTGAAAATCAATATATCATGAAAATACATTTTTTTAAAGTTCATAAATAAATTAAATGCTTAACATTTATCCTTTTTTTCTACTCTCTTTCATTCCTCTTTATTTATGACACTCCTATGACTCCATACTTCAAACCTGAGGAACGTAAACACTTTGTTTAAATTGATGCAGAACGATTCTAACAGCTATGGAACTATTTCAAACACATTATTGCGTTTCTTTTTGAACTCTGAAGTCACATTTTGGTCTCCTGTACGCAGTTATGACCTCATTCCCTGTTTGTTGGTGGCTTTAATCTAGACTTGTGGATTAATCAGTTTACTGTTAAGACTTCTAATCAAAGGAAGAGAAACTCCAGCATCGACACACTGATGGCAGCTCTTTGGTTATATTGCATTGAATGTTCATTTTGTACATGTAACGGGTTAATGATTATTCTGTTAAAAACTTTTAGACCTGAGTGGAAGTGTGTTTTATACTTTTCTGTTTCGTCTCTTATTCTCCCGAAACTCATTTTAATCGAAAGTTTGATCACTCTGATCAGCAGCAGAGGAATATAGAAACCTTCTATAAACAAGTCAACAGACAAGGTTCTTGTATTTTGCTTTAGTCTTTTTCCAACATCTTAGAGGAAATGACTTTACTTCCACCTGTTCTTCATTTCTCTGGCAACTTCATCTCTTACTGACAAATAAAGATTATTTTTTAGAACGAGAACATAAATTTAAACTGACTAAAACTTAAATCATCAACAGGATATGTGAGTACAGCTGAGACCAGAATCATCAGGTCTGATCATTTATCAGAAATCATTTTAATGATAGTTTACTCATTCTTTAAGTAGAAACAATTCATGGCTTCAACGTCACTCAGATTTCCATGTACTAATTAAAATTAATGAATTAATTTAAATTATAGTAAAAGTTGGACCATCAATTCACATTACATGTGTTGAAAGAAGTAACGAGATACTAAGATAAATGTTTTTTTTATGAAGTACATTTTTGATCATTTGGTATTTTGGAATTTTGGAGAAATATGTAATATAACAGCTGGTAGAGACAGAGTTACAAGTTTTACCCTCAATCAATCAATCAAACTTTATTTATATAACACCTTTCTGACAAATTAAATTGCTGCTCAAAGTGCTTAACAAGAGTGCAGAAAAGTTATTGATGAAAAGTAGTTTATAAAATCTTTGAGAGACCAATGCACACCAATAAGAATTAAAAATAAAATATATGTATAAAAATAAAATACAACAAAATACGACACATAAAAGCAACAAGATATTAAAATAAATACACAAGAGGAAAATATTTAAAATTGTGGTAGGATATAAAGACAATATAGTAATGTTAAGATTTGAATTGATATAAACACTATATAAAAGCCAGACTGAATAAATGAGTTTTAAGACTGCGTTTACAAATCTACCCTACCTTGCCCCTCACAGTAATGAAGGCACATAATAATCATATATCATAATTCTTCATAGTTTTTGAACCTATGATATTATATATAAATAATACAGTAGTCACTTTTAAAATATACTACTGCTACCATGTCAAATATTTTTCTTTATACTTCTATTTGCACCGCTATCAATAGTGTAGGGGACACAAAATTAAAATAATGGTCAACAATATGTATCAGAACAGTTAAAGTAGTGGAGAATGATTTAAAAAAAAACTATTTAAAAAAAAAAGTATAGTTCAATTATCTAAAATTCTCACTGAAATATGTGCAAACTGAAATTGAAAAACTGTTGTTTCAATGTAGTGTTTCGCGTTTCTGTTGCACTTGAAAGCAACACCGTATCCGTTCGTGAATTGATCACGTCCCACGGTCCGTGAACGTAGCAGCAGCGCGCGGAAAAGAAATAGTCATGGCTGAACCGGTGAGTGACTGATTGTCAGATCTGCCGCCGTTTATCAATTAAAAACCTCTTTTCACCGCTCATGATCTCTTAGAAGAAGTGCTACGGCGTTCAAAACAAAGTTGCTCCTCGCAGATTGAGAGCACTTTGGGTGTGAAGCCACTTGAACAGATAAAACTACTCTGTGCTTAACCCAACTAGCATGAGAGGTAAAGCGTTAGCTCGGTCGTTTGATACGTTTAATCCGTAAAATGTGATTTAACCAGAGATAATTAATAACAAAAAACAACATTTAGTCAATGAATCGAGTTGTTGGCGACACTGACTACTCCTTTGCGTCCTTTTTCTTGTTTCACTTTCAGTTTCTATCAATATAATAATCACTTTTTAACTGCACTGCAACCATGACAATATATATATATATTATGACGAGCTGTAAAGCTAGCTCTGAATGAAGGTAAACAAAGAGTAATGCTCGACTGTTCATGATCACAAAGCTGGATACGGTTCAGCTAGCTTTCTTAAAGTTAATGTCAGCCTTTGTTTACACTTTACGTATCCTGCTACTCATCTAAAAGCAATGCAGCCTTATAATATTAACATTAATGTCCAGTTCTTGTTGTTTAAAACCAGTGGTTAGTTCAGGGACTGCAGTTTGTGTGTGCTCTCTGCCTGTATTGCTTTATACGTGGAGAGGTGTTTTTAATGTTTTTGTAGACTATTCACATCGATCCTAGTTTACTGACCACTGACTGAAGGTACCACATGCCATCCACATATCAGCCACTAAAAATGTGCCTTTGATGTTTAGAAAAATGTGTTATTGTGGAATAATATGTTTGTTGTTGTTGCGGTTTTGTGTTTTGATTTATTTAGAAAAAAAAAGATTTCAAGACATCCAAAACTATTGCATAGTCTAACTCAGGGATGGGGCAACTTTGGTGACAGCAAGGGGCCACATTCATTTAATTCTCACTGCCAGAGGGGCCAAATTGTAGCATACAAAAAACGATTACAGTCAATTATGTCTCAAATTTAACTCAACATATACCAGTGATTAAATATTATTATGGACATATTTCTGGTTTTCATGATTTCATGGCAGATTTTGTCATGTTTTCTTCATGTTTCCAATTAATTGATGACCTGAGGGCCACTTTAAGGGTTGATGGGGGCCGCATGTGGCCCCCGGGCCGCCAGTTGCCCACCCCTGGTCTAACTGCAACAAGTCTGAGGGATTGTATCAGATTTGCATCGAGTCAGATTTTACACAAAACAATTTAAAGTGCCACTTTCTTACCCCCAAGTCAAACACACGTCAGACACCATTCATTCTCGTATATTAGCACCAGTGGAGTGCAGCTCATCCATTCCTGTGTCTCTGCTCTCCAGATGTCTGACAGCGACGTTCAAGCTTTGAAACCGCGACCCAAGCGCAGACGCATCCTCGACCCTTCAGCGATCATCCCGGTACCTGTCTACTCAAGCAAGGTAAACAAACAGGCAGCGGGCAAAGAATACCACATAAAGTAAATGTTAGGGTTTGCACTGCTGATGGGTGACAGTTTGTATTGATGGATTTGATGCTTTTGAAACCATATTTTGTCCTTTAACTCTAGTTCAGTCACATGAAGCAGTTTGTAACTCTTTGGAAGATGCAGTCGGGATTATTGTTTTTAACATGTACTGCATAATTTGTAATTGAGTGGTTTTGTGCTCAGGTTAGCAGCAGTCTGCAGCTGAAGCCGATGAAAGCCGTGCTAACTGAGCAGAAAAAAACAGGTACGTTTTTAGCAAGCATAGATGAAAGCAGCGTTTGATTTCAGTCCTAGAAGGTTAACTGTGTTTGTCTCCTCCCATACGACGGTGCAGATGAGAACTTGTGGTCAGAGTTTTCATCTCAAGGGCCGGCGGCAGCCATCACCAACTTGAGTGAGTCTGAGGAGGAGGAGGAGGAGGAGGAGGAAACGGAACATATAGAGGAGAAGACGCAGCCGTAAGTGGTCACAGAGTGGATTTACAACTTTTGAATCAATAAAGAAAGAAGTGACGTCAGGTACAGGCGCATGTCTCTGTCGTAACAATGTAAATGAATTCATTCACAACTGCATCCATCTTTTATTACAGAGAAGCAGTCCGCTGCCATTCTCCTTCTCCTCCAGACAGTCCGGTCAACAAACACTCGAAACAGTTCCTGAAGAAGATCAGGTGAACGAGGAGTCTTGATAATAAAACCTAAAGTTACAAGCAGAGAGACATCCGAGCAGGTCTCTAGCACTTGGATTTTTTTTGGTCATTTACTTGATAAGAAAAAAAACTTTTGAAGAACATCGGAGCAGATGTATCATATATGCAACCCCCTGTCAATTTTGGATTTGAGGCACTCTACTTTTAGTTACAGAAAAATATAATTATAGTATTTTGAATGATAAGAAGAAGCTTCTTAAGCCTCTAATGCGGTTAACAGGCACAGTTGATAAATTGGATGATGCTCAGAGTTTAAGTTGAAGCCTGTTGTTTTTTTTTGTGTCCCTCAGCGAGATCGACAGAAAGCTCCAGGCGGTAAACTCCCTCCTCTCTCCCGAGCCTCAGGACAGAAGGTCGAGGCGAGGCCCCCTGTCTCCAGGTGATGAGGATGTCATCATAATGAACCTAAATGATGATGATGATGATGTCGTCATCTTGAACACAAACTCTGAAGTGCAGGGCTCCCCGTACAGCTCGTCGGTCAGGGAGATCCCCCTGAAGGTCCGCTGCCGAACAGAAATCCACAAGATCCCGGTGCTGTCGGTATGTACACAGAGCCTTCACACACGCACACACACAGACATGCAGCAGAGGCTGTGGTCACTCATTAAGACAATTTGATCTGGTCTGTCTTTTAGTCGACTCCATTAAGTGAAGTGGTGAAGCAGCTGTCGGTCATCTTGAAGGTTCCTCCTCCTCGCCTCCTGCTGATGAGGAGAGACGTGGAGCTTCCGACAGACTCCACGGTCAGCGAGCTCGGCCTTGGCATCGCCGATATTATAGGTGATAACAACGCTATTTATTCAAAGCTGTTTTATTTTTTGTGAATGTAGAATCTGAATGATTTCAATTGTGTGTGTCGTTCATGAATTCTCTGGGATAACTGATGCACTTTTTAATGTGACCGCTAGATGGCATCAAATCATCATTATCAACAAAACCTCCTACCTGCGGCACACAGGCGGTGAAGGGCCTTTGTCCAATACAAGGCCAGCTGTTAATAACAATCACACAAGACTGACAACATCGTTAGCAGGTTTACTTGATGACGTAATTTGACGCTTTTCTCTTGATGATGTAATTTTGAGACATGAAGAGAAAAGCCCAAAAGCGATCCACAAATGCCACAAAGTCAAGCATATTTATTTTCAAATCTCTAAAATATATTTACAAATACACGTTTATTTATACAAATTTATTTATTTATTTTTATGTCACGTTTTTATATTTGTGTATTTATAAATGTATGCATATTTATACATATCATTTCGACATGTATAAATCTTTTTGAGACAATTCGATCTCCATACAGAGTCATCCTAGTAGAGCTCAAAGATCACACACACACACACCTAAACCAGCATTTCTTGAAATGTCAGGCAGTTCACAACAGAATTATTTTAACATTTTTTCCCATTACAGACCCCGAATGGGAAAAGCAGTAAAGATAATAGATGGATAGATTACTTGATTTTAAAAATTGCTTAATCAGGAGGTCTTCATATACAGTATATTAATGGACTTGTCCCTGCAGCTCCTATGTTGACCTGTTGATGGCAGTAGATGAAAAGATGTACAACTCAACCTGAGGGGAACATTAAGGTTCTGAACCACATTCTCATCTGTCCTAGTAGTTTTGGAGAATTATCCGACAGGACCCTATTGATGGCCACAAGCACAGCAAATCATGTTGAGTTATTGGAAGATGAAATAAGCACTGGTTTGATGAATTGACAAGACCTCAGGGGAAAGAAAAAGACAATTTAAAAAAAAAAAACACCTCTCCTCTCTTGTGTCTGTGCAGAATGTGATGTCATGGCGGCAGAGGAACAAAGTGAAGCAGCAGCAGCAGCAGCAGCATCACAGTGAGGCTGCAGAGCAAAGACAGAGACGCCTCACAGGAGTTCACCCTGCACAGAGTTAGTCATTCTTTGTTGTCCTTTTTGCTCTACGTTGTCCGCTTTGTGTGAGCAGTAGTAAACAAATAGCATTGATTTGATGATCTGTGTGTGTGTGTGTGTGTGTGTGTGTGTGTTTTCAGGATGCACCGTTGGGCTCCGTCTTCTCTCTGTACATGTCCAACATGTCAGCCGTTGAACAGAGAAAAGTTCGCTTCCACTTTGACGGCTCCAAAGTGACAAACATCCAGACGCCAGCTCAGCTCGACATGGAGGACGGGGACATCATTGAAGTCTGGATTTAACTCAGTGTTGTATATAAAATGTGAACTGGTCTGATGTTTCATTAGTTGTAAATAAAACTTTATTTTGTCAAACAAATGCAACAGTTTAGAGACAAATGATATTATATTTTTAAGCACAATTAAAAATTTCAAAAAAGTGTGATGTAGTTCTTTCTGTGAAAGTTAGAGCTGAGAGCATGGATTGTGCTCATTGCTCTACCGCCTGCCTAAGTTTTTTTATTCATTCCCTCCCCACATCTCACTTCGATGCTTACCAATAAATTCAAGTTAAAAAAAAAAAAAAAAGATGAATTTTGTTGTGGCTGTATGTATACTTCCCGAAGACTAACTCAGTCTAAACGTCCCTAACCACAAACTCTGTTTATAAAAATCACCATTTTACATGCAAACAACCTTTGCAGATCACATCAGGTCAGAGTCAGTTAATCAAAGGTTTCGCACTCAGGAGTATTTGCAGTCACTCACTAACACGCCCATAGAGATCTCCTAGGCTTAACATCCATTGATTGTATTCATGGTTTTCTTTAGTCACCCCTCAGATCTGTCACTCTTTCTCAAACCTCTGCTTGGTCTAAAGCAATGTGTCCTTACTCTTAACAGTCTTCCTGCAGTCTGTTGTGACTACTGGGAGTCCTTGCGATCTGATTTAAAATCTCATACACTGAGCAGAATTTACCTTTGTAGATAATGGATCATAGACAGAATGAGTCAGGCATACTGAAAAGGTCCCCAAACAGTCATGGCAGTTTTGCAATTAGGGTGGAGAACTACTACATATTCAGCTAAGAACAATCATTTCATACTAAATTTAAATATTTGACTAATTTGTGGTCAGTTTATTAGCCGGTCAACTGGCTTAATGTTTGAAATTGATTGATTTAATTTTAAGAACATGTTTTTTTAAATGTGTAAATCTGTCACAGTATTAGATTTTATAATCTTTTTTTCACGAATATGTAGAAGTATAATGTGAATAAAACTATAAAAAAAAAATTGTTAAGAGTTTTTAATTTCCCAATAAAATGTATAAAAAAATATATAATGTGGAATAAGGAGCTGAAACGTTTGTGCAACACTTGAGTAAATCTAGTTTTAACATCTGCATGTCTAGGGGAATGTAAGATACAGTCATATTTTCATCATGCTGATCAAACACTGATTCGATAACGCAATCGATGCAGTCATGTGACTTGCAGACGTAAAAGTCATGTGAGCTGCGAAGCGGAAGTTTAGTCAGAGCCAACATGGCGCCGCTGCACCAGCGTCATCTGTAAACTGCTCTCGAGTAAACATCAGGGTGTTTTTGAATGCGAGCCAGGGTTAACGCTGTTCTCTGTGGACATTTGCTGTTTTGTTTTTTTGCAAACCGTCAACATGGGTTTTAAATAGCAGTCACTGCAGTCTGTGACGGGAGGTTTTAATTTGGAGCGGCGGCGGCACAAAGCAGGAAGAAGAAAGAAGCGTCCGCTGTGACTCATCCTGCGAGGTAAACAACATCACGACAAACAGGCCAGTGGTGACAGAAACAGGCTTAACACAGCCAACATGTACAAGTAATATGCACATAGACTACAAACCGACACCAGTTTGTGTTTGTTTTCCTCATAAGGGCAAGTAAATGCAAAAGAAAAGACTTGTTGAATCCGCTCTTCAGCGGATCTGACGCCGGACTCCCTTTAAAAAATGACGAATTTAAGGATCATTATATTTATCTTTGTTTAACTAAAGAAAAAACATTGTGTGAAGTGCAATTTCAAGTGAGATTATTTTTTTTTACTAATTTACTTTTGGATAAAGTCTTTTTGTTGTTGTTGTTGTATAAAATAAAATGTAGAAAAAGTAGAAAAGTATTGTCTTATTATAGTGTTGTCATTGCCTTTGTGCTTAAATAGAAATTATTTTTAAGCCGTATTTGTCAGAGCATCCCTTCAATGTGTACTGTGACAAAATGGACTATTAAAAGCCACCCTGACCTTTTCTGTAGGGCGAGTTATATTAAATTAACTGAATTCTGAATGAAGGGAGGCTGTGTTGAGTTGCTTTGGCAGCTCACAGAGAGGCATCACTGTGAATTTCAGTCCGTTTCACAACCAGTTTAAAAAAAAACTCCTCACAGGGGCTTTAATAGACTTGTCATTTCTTGTGACATTGCCTTCCATCAAATACACTTCCGATTTTAATGCAGGAGAACAGATTCCCCTCGTAAGCAGGTGAAGACACAGTTCCTACTGGACTAACAGTGTCGTTTATGAGAGAGTCACAGTTTCATGTGAAAGGTCGGCTGCATTGTAAAAATGTAGCTGTAAAAAGGTGAACGAAACCCTCTGGGAGTCTGATTTTTTTCCCCAAATGTATCGGCCTTTAAAACATGCCATGTCATCCTCTACCGTCCAAAATCGAAGTTAATATTTGCTGTGAGTAAGATTCATGAAATTAGAAGGACTCTGCTCAGGTGTAGTTCAGAGTCTCTAACCCCCCCACACACACACACACACACACACACACACACACACACACACACACACACAGCACACACAGCCACACACACGCACAGTTCATTGTACTTTGTTACTTTACAGTTCACATGATTGAAGTTTCACAGAGTCGTGTCTACCACGTCTTCTTCTTTCTCTTCCCGTTCTTCACTTCAGGGTCTTCTCCTTTATTCTCTTATCAGCACGCTTTTCTCCAATATCTACATCCTTCATTACAAACAGACCTTAATGCACAAATGTTAAAATCGCTCTCCCCGACGTTTACATGCTACAAACATGATTTAAAAAAAAAAAAAAAAAAAATCAACTAGTCTTAGCTTGAGTAACATGTCTTGAGTTCTGACACTGCTTGTTATAGACTGTGTTCTTTAAAGTACTGTGGATCCGTGTAGAATATGTTGATTAGTTGTCATCAATTCACCTCACATCCACTTTTTCACACCTTAATCACCATCAAGTAATTCTATTGCTTGAGTAACGTTTAAAGAAAGAAAAGAGGCCGTCTTCTGATTTCAGTGTCTTGAATGTGAATAACTTTCTTTTCTACTCTCTGACACTTGCAGTAAACGTCTTTTACCTCAAGGAAGGAAGTGGTTGTTGATCATTTAGATAAAAATCAGCTGATTGCTAAAATCAGATACACGTTACAGCTATAGTTTGGTGTGGAGAAAAGAAAAGCAAGATAACCTCTAAATTGCTTTTATGTTGTGGGATAATTAACCTGATTTTGTCAGAGTGAACCCACTGTTGATAGCTGCAGGAGATGAAACAGGATTTTCCTGTTGAGCTGCTGCCACTATTAACACCAATGCATTAGCCTGTTTGTCTTAGTGCCCATGCCAAACAGCTCCAAAGATTATCTTTCATGTTTCAGGCCAACCGTTATTTGTTTTAGTGATATTTTAGATGTACAAGAAACTTTTTTTTTTTTTTTTCTCTTAAGAAGTTTCACAGGTCAGTTTCTGTACTCCCATGTGAAAAGATTCAGTGGTTGTGATTGGGTAACTTGAGTTGTTGATTGAGTAACCCTCTGGTCTTGACCCCTCTCCCCAGCATCAGCCATGTCTCTGGGCGAGCACACGTCGGAATCGGCGCCGTTCTCCTCCGATGACAGCGAGGCGGAGGGTCAGGACGAGAGAGGCGCCGGCGATGGTGTGGCTCAGCAGACGCAAGAGGAGTCAGCCAGCGGGGTGTCCAGAGTGCGAGCGCTGCTGACTGTTTTCACCCTCTGCTACATCAACCTGCTCAACTACATGGACAGGTTCACTGTGGCAGGTATGGTACACCTGCTGCACCGTCACAGCCGACCGGAAGCTTTCAGCTATTATTTCCGTGAAAGAAAACGTGGAGGCTACTTTTGCAGGTCATTTTTGCTGATAGATTTGTCATCTTTTAGGCTTTAGCTGACCAGCTATGCACTAACTGAACAAAGGGAAATTAAGTGACTTAACTCTTACACTAACTTTATTCTCTATAATCCATATTTATTTTAGTTTTAGAAACGGATTGTAGGAATTATATCACTTTTAACTTGCTTTACTGGAGTTTGAATTACTGCTGAGCGACTGCTGCCCATCTATTCTCATCTCATTACCTGAGAGGTAAAACTTCTTCTCTTGACTCCACCAGGTGTCCTCCCCGATATTGAACAATATTTTGGGATCGATGATAGCAAGTCTGGCTTACTCCAAACAGGTAAGAAAATATCCTACAAGGTTATTCAACATTCTTCACCTTTTTAATCTTCAAATTGCTGACCAACTAGACTGAAATTAGATTTTCTGTGTTAACTAAGTGGTATTTCAAAGTAAGGCATTTCTTGGAAAAACTTGAATTTGGGATTATCAGCTCATTGAGTTTCGTTTTGCCCTTTTCCTCCCAGTTTTCATCTGCAGTTACATGTTCCTGGCTCCTGTCTTTGGCTACCTTGGCGACAGGTACAACAGGAAGATTATCATGAGCGTTGGCATCACTTTCTGGTCTCTGGTGACGCTTGCCAGCTCCTACACCCCCAAAGAAGTGAGTCACACCTCTCTTTTCCAAAACTCTTCTGACACTTCTTGTTGCCGTGTTAAAACAATTCAGCTTCATTAAAAAAAATTTAAAAAAAATGTTCTTTTGTAAATCCTTTCACCTCCCACTTCCCGCAGCATTTCTGGGCCTTGCTGTTGACGCGAGGCCTGGTTGGTGTCGGAGAGGCCAGTTACTCCACCATCGCTCCTACTATCATAGCTGACCTCTATGTGAAGGGAAAGAGGACAAATATGCTCTCCATTTTTTATTTTGCAATCCCTTTCGGCAGGTAGGTTTAATCATTAAGGTTATCTTTGCATCTGTAACTTTTATTGAGCTGTGTATTGATTACCGTTTTAACACCTTATCATCTTTTTTTTTTTTTATTACAGCGGTCTTGGATACATCGTGGGCTCACAAGTCGGAAATCTAGCACACGACTGGCACTGGGCTCTACGGGTACGCCTGACTGCTTTTATTTATTTATTTGTTTATTTGCCGTCTCTTTCCAGAAACACACAGATTGCAGTTGGAACATCTGGAACTGATCGCCTTGTCGTTTGTGTCGTTCTCTCTTCAGGTGACCCCGGGGTTGGGTCTGATCGCGGTGGTGCTTCTGCTGCTTGTGG